GCCTTCGGGCCCCCGAAATAAGACAGAGTTCACATCAATTTTCAACCTGAGTCTTCCCGTTATTTATGCCCTCCTGCTCTAGCATAGGTAAGACGTGCGGAAAAAGAGTCTGACACTTCGGCCAGTTCGCGTACTCCCCATCCGGGAACTCATGAGCCATCGTTTGTATGAAAGCCTGGTGCCATTTCCTTTCTGTATTGGTTGACGCAAGCCATATTCGTGTGGCGAGCTGGACCAGCCCGTGCATCTCGAACTCGTCCTCGCGTTGCGTCATGCCTACTAGCGAGAAGGCGCGAAGCACTGCCACATCTTCCTCAAAATCTACGTCCTCCTCTTCTAAGCAGTTATCCAACAAATCATTTCGCCCCTGATTGTCCTTGTCTATATAATGGCGAACCATAAACTCGGGGATGCCTTGCCGATTAAAGAAGCTCATAAACGAAAGAAGACACGCTGCCGACGGTCGTTTCTGATGTATATGGTCAAAGGAGATCTGCCAGGTTATAAGCACGGAGTTCGACGCTTGCTCGTCGCGCCGCATGTCTGGAACCGTCTTGTAGAGTAGCTGTGCTCGTTTCTTTACTGTTTTAAGCTCGTTAAGATACTTCGCGACGGACATGCGAGGCTTAAGCCGGTTAATATAAGCTGCTGCTTGAACAATAGCAAGCGGGATGCAGTCGAGAGCGTTGGCAAGCTGTATCGCGCCATCACTTGGGCCATCTCTCAGCTTGTTCTCTAGAAGCTGGACAGCCTCTTCGTCGCTCATTATCCCAACCGCAATAATATCTTTCTCATGGCTAACGAGACTTCGCGCAACATCGGCATTGCGCGACGTAATGAGGATGGCGCCGTGATCGCTTTGGGGTAACAGAGCAGCCAGGGACACCTTCTCTTCCTTGTTTTGCATTTCGATCGTGATATCCGTGTCAGTATTATCAACGATCATTAGCCATCGTCCATTGGCCTCGTCGCACAACCATCTACGGACCAGTTGAAGCGTGTCTACGGCGGCAGTTGGCTGAAGGGATAGACCGACTTCTTGGGCAATGTCGCTGAATGCCGCCTTAAGTCGCGCCGAGTTGCTCGCATGCATCCAGAACACCCATGTTTCAGGCGACTTTTGCCGAACCCGATGCGCATATTCGATCGCGAGCTGCGATTTCCTGCACAAGTAAGTATAGGCTAGACCTTGCGGAGGTTGAATCATACCCAAACCCGCCGAACCCTACAAGCGCCGCGCGACCCGCTGGCTGCGAGCATCGCTCGTTAATCTGTTCAAGAATATTACCGCGGTCGACGAAGTCGTTGTCTCTGGGGAAGGGGACGTTTGAGGATGGTTTAAGTAGCGTTTGAGGGTTACCTATCGATGTTCAACGTTAGCGCTTCGTGGCCAGGGTAGAGCGAGGAAGGGATTTTGTAAAAATCCCGTAATTTTAGCTGCACAGATCTGCAATATACGGACGTTGCCTTTATACAAATTAAGACATACCTTGCAGGTCCGATCTGTGTTCATTGCCTCGCGCTTCTGTCCCCTTTAAAGGCTTCAGTATCTTTCTTCTGAGCCGTAGATACGCGTGTTCCTCCCCCTCCCCGTATATGAGCGGCATGAAAACCCCAAAGATCCCCAGTAAACAATATGCCTTATCCTCCTTAACCGTCGTTCTGCGTTTCGCTGCCCAGCTCATTCGCTCGTCAACGCTAAACTCGGAGAGATGTTGTCCTCTCAATACTCCGATAGGAATCTTGGTGATCTTATGAATTTCCTGCTCCAACGTTATCCTACTACCCAGCCGCTTACCCTCCTTGGAAAAGAATTCAACGGTGGCCGGCGCGAGAAGCTCCTGCAACGTCCAGCCCCGCGCGAACCATCGGCTCCGTCGAAAGGAATCCTCCCACGTTATCCGGAACGCTTGGGCATCAGCAAGCTCATCTAGGACCTGGACATCTGACAGATATACGTAGCACTTGCTTGCGCGCTGATACCAGCGGAACATAGAATTGATGGCCGTGCTGAGCTCATCGCTGGTAGACTTGTCGATGCAGCAGGTATCTACCCAGAAATACTGGAGGCCATCCGCTGCAGCTCTCCCGCAACAGAAGCGGATTTTGGCGTAGCCAGTCTTGTCCTTGCCTGTACCGGCCACCAGCTCATTATACGTGACTTCTTGACCATCGGTCCATGTGTGCGATAGGATGGCATACGGAGGAGGGTCGTCATCTTTGAAAGAAACCAACTCGAAATCGCCGTCCGGTGAGCGCTTCAGAAGACGCATCGTGGCGCCCGCATGCTCTCCCACGAGCAAAGAATGTTGGTTGAGTTCGACCGCAATGCAAGCTAACTATCGTGGTGAGCCAGGAAGCGCAAAGCAGTACATATCTCGTGGCCTGCTTAAAGGTTCGTGTATAGCATTGCACAGAACACATCGAGCAGGCTGCAAGCGGGCGCTCGATGGGCGGTTGGGGCTCACGTGCGCGCGGGACTAGCGCCAAAGTGCGGCCTCGATTTTTGAAGGGGTCTTTAGCATTGCAACATTTTGATTGGCTGATTGGAGGCTCTTTTATTAAATACATTCGGACCAGAGCGAAAAGGCCAGCATCCTTACCCAGGTGGTCAAGCTGCCATCTAAGGTCCTGAACCTGTCGATCCCCGCCTAGGGCGGCCTTGAGAATTCAAGGTAGGCGCGGAGGCTAGTGTCTGAGCGGTTCATGCTCGACACAAGCCTTGAGTTGCGGCCCAATCCGAGGAACGTTAGAAATTTGGAGATTCTACGTCAGCATGGCTAAATTACAGCTATCCTGTTTCCGATTTTTCTATACAGTTAGGAAGTGGGGTTCTTGTTTTGTCAATGCTACTTGATGAGGCATTAAGCCACTACAGAAGCGCAATGAGCTTAAATATTCTATTGCTTCGCTCGGTATACAACCTTTCTATATCTATCTACAGTTCGACAAGTTTTCGGACGGGATGCACGAACTTTCTAATGGATACGAGGCTATCCGGAGCGACGCCATCATGTCTGCCTCTAGCGATTCGTGGTATTATAGGCTAAGCCAGAGTTCTCTATAGAAGATGTGAAGCGTAGATAAAGCTTAGGATTTAAGACCTTTGTTCCGAGATTATCCATGCTTTTTGGGGTTATTAACTTTGTTATAATGAAAAGCACTGGCTTTGATTAGCGACCGACTGTTCTGTGACTTACTCATCTACCAGCAATTCCTTCGTCTTGCGCCTTGAGTAGGTAGGGCGCGGGCACTTCCGGATATATTTAGGGAAGCAAGAGAGGAAATCGAATTCGTTTCGTCTATCTCTGAAATACAATAACTCTTCAATAATTCTTTGTTCAATTGCTTCCTCAACCTAACGGAAGAGGACGAATATCTCCAGCAAAAACATAACCGTACGCGCCTCCTACCCCTCTCCGCCATCCATTCCGAGTGCTGTGACTGACAAGGCTAATGTACCCAGTACACTGCCTCGAAATGCTCGTCGAAGGCATAATGTGCAAAGCCGACGAAACCCCGTTTACGCTCCGCTGGCTAGAGAACTCGATCCTGCCCACCGGTAACCGCACCATAGCGCACGAGTGCGTGAACTGGGATCGATTGATAGAGGGAATGGAAAAGCATCGTGTTGATCCGTTCGTGCCGAGGGTATTTGTCCATCCCAAGTTTGGTGAGCCGGATAGAGAGAAGCTAATGAGTTGATGTTTATAGCTCCCGTGGGGCCCAATGGCAAGAACACAATCATCGAGAACCGGATCGGGTTCACGCCAAACGCGACGCAGCTGGATACGTCGAAGTTGGGGGAGGATGACTTTCGGAAGCATGGCCATGGCGGGCGTAAGCATAATGAGTAGATCATTCTGAATAAAAATGAGCGTACTTCTTCTATATCATATGACTATCTCGTGATGCCTTGAAGCATTACCAACACTAGAAATCTCGGCCCCAGAAGGAGACCCGCTCCGGCAAAGCGCTCATACTCGCCATGTCGTGCCGTAAAAAGAAAATCACGCCAGCATAAAAGATTTCGGAGGGTTTCAACCTGATTTTCTAACATTTAGAGTCTGTATAACCAAGGGAAAATAATAGTAGTCATGTACCGCCGACGTTTGTATGCCAAGAAACCCGACACTCTCTATACTCAACACTTTTTCTAGCTTCATTTCGCCAAGCCCTGCCGATCTAGGTAATTTTTGCATCTTGGCAGTTTGAAGGGAATCTGGGGTTGGGGGTTAGAGAACGCCAAGATTCCATGGCTCGACACTTCTAACCACGCCGAGTCCTGCGCATCTAGGAACTAGGGAGTTCGGCCCACCTTATCATGTGGAATTGATCAAATCTCCCTGCAGGTGTACTCTACGTGCAATTCTAAGAAGAAAGAAGACCCACCGATAGCAAGGACGATATCTTAAAGACCATAACATCGCCGTTGTCCACATAGGGAGGATATGGCCACTTCATGTCCTCATGACTGAAGTAACATATTATCTCTAAGGTTTGGGGACTTTTTTATATTCAGTTGGAGACCGAAAGCGGCGATTCACGCGATATCAGATCTAAACGATACTAGCGTCTCGAGCGCCGCCACTAACGCACGAGCGCCGCCGCTAAAGGGGATGGGCCGCTCATCCCCGCTCTTTTACTGCTTTCGTATAATTTCGCGAACGAGATTGGTAAATCTAGAGGGAGACGGCGGAGTTAGAGGCGGAGTATAAGAGATCGGACGGTGGACATAAGGATAGGTCTCGATAGCAGAGTAACCCAACATAAGTATAAAGAGCTATTTCTCACTCTCCAACTCAATCAAATCAACCATCATTCTCCAACATCTCAATCACACTTCAAACCCTTCCCCTCGTCCATCTTCCCAACCAAGCCTCCTTCCCACGCACTCCAAGGTCTACCAGCTCTCACAATGTCCCAAACCAAATACACCTCCAAGCTCTCCCAAAAGCTCATCCTCGTCCTCGGCGGCACCTCCGGCGTCGGCTTCTGCGTCGCCGAAGCCTGCCTCGAGCACGGCGCCGCCGTCTTCATCTCCAGCTCGAACCCCGCCCGCCTCGCCGCCGCCCTCGCCCGCCTGCGCGCCTCGTACCCCTCCCTCGCCGCCAACATCACCGGCGCCACCTGCGACCTCGCGGACCTCGACAACGTGGAGGCGAACCTCACCGCGCTCTTCGACGCCGTCACAGACAACAAGGCGAAGAAGATCGACCACGTCGTCTTCACGGCCGGCGACGCGCTCAAGCTCCCTGCCATGGCCGAGGCGACCCCGGCCGTGGTGCTGGCGCCCGCGAACGTGCGGTTCATCGGCGCGATTATGGTCGCGAAACTCATCCCGACGTACATGACGCTCACGCCGGCGTCTTCTTTTACCCTCACCAGCGGCTCGATCACGCAGAAGCCGTTTCCCGGGTGGTCGATTATCGCGGGGTGGGGCGGGGCGGTGGAGGGGCTAGCTCGCGGACTAGCGGTTGACCTTGCGCCGCTGCGGGTTAACACGGTTACTTTGGGGGTGGTGCAGACGGAGCTGTTTGATAGCTCGCCGGCGGAGATGATAGAACATGCAGTTGAGGGGTGGAAGCAGGCGACGTTGGTGAAGGAGATTGGACGGCCGGAGGATGTGGCGGAGGCGTATTTGTACTGCATGAGGGATCGGTTTGTGTCGGGAGCGACTGTGGAGACGAATGGGGGGAGGTTGCTGGTTTGAGGGAGAGGAGAGAGAAGGATGGGCATAGTTTATGTTAAATGAGAAGGGGTGATAGAATTGTAGAATAAGTTGTGGTATACCCGTCTTGCTTCAGATTCGTCCTGTTTCTCCACTTTTACCTTCTCTACTCTGCCGCATCAACCGCTTTTCCATTAACAATGAAGTTCTTTTGCACCCCGACCGTCTTCAAACCCAGCACCTCCGTAGTCTTCCGATCAATGAACTTCTCTTCATCCGGCACAATCACCTCCGTATAGTACGGGTCCTGCATCGCGGCCATGAACATATCCCAGTCCTTTACCTCCATCTGCCCGCAGCCGTCGGCATCGACGGCGCCAGGCAGGGAGAGGAGTGATGTTGGAGTTGTGTGAATCTACGAGGTAGGGAATTGAGTATAAGCTCGTAACGAAACATAACGAGAGAAGTAGTGGAACTTCAGGGAGGGAAGTGAAGGGCGTGAAGATGAAGGGAATTGTAGAGGTACCTGCATGTAAGAAATGAAGCCATGCTTTAAGATCCATGGTACAACGAGGGGCGCATGTTTCTTTTCCCAGTGCTCGTAAAATTCCTCGTGGGTGATGTCGGGGTGTTTCTTGAGGAAACCAATTACGCGGAGGGTGTCTTGGGGCATGCTGGGGTCTACCGGAATTGGATCTTTTTTGAGTGAATTGAAATGGGAGGACGCTCAAGGGAAGTGATGACTGGGAGAGTGGCGGTGAGATTGAATATGACAGACCGGGAAGATGTAGGACTTGAGAAAGTAGATGCCTAGTACATGTATAGTAGTTGGTCAAGACACATATGTAGCTTAAAAATAGCGTGAAGCTTGGAAAAGTTGCTGACGCGGATTACTAACCTGTACATCTCAAGCACGTGATGTTGACCCGCGTTGGATGTCCAGATGTGGTTGCACTTGCGGGTGAGAAATTCCCGACTGGAGGAACGAAAATACCTTGAAAAGATATTGATCCCATGTCTTCACGTCGTGACCACGATTGAACAATTTAAAAAGTGCCCAAGGTGAACTGTAACAAGCTGTTTTGTATGCCCTCCACCATACCATGGATTGGAATCTCGTGAGTATTTGTGCATGGAAAAAGACCGCTAATCACCGTGCCATGCTGTTGATCATTTCTCGCTGTGTCGCCCTGTCCCTGTTGGTCTCGCTCAATGGTGGAATACCTGCAGTACGGTTAGCGATAATAATTGAGTGCTGAGGGCACCCTATACTCACTCCGTAGATCGCCGACAACGTCCTTCGCTGGGTCGAACGTTAGTATGAAGACTAAGACTCAATTGATGGATAGGTATCATACCTTTTCCGAAGTACACCTCCTCTAGATCAGAATATTAGCCTGGTTCTCATGTCAAGTTTGAGAGAAGACTCACGCAGCAGGTTCCGCATCTTCAACTCCATATCTTCGACCATCTGTAAATCCGCCATTAGCAACCAAGCATAGTGGATAAATCCTCTCGTATGAAGCCATCCTACCTTTCCGATATTAGCCACATGGCTCCCATCATCCTCAACTGCCATGTCCTGCTCCACCTGCCTAACCATGTTCCCACTCAGATCCATTATGCCCAGATTCTCCGCCTCATTGCCGAGACTCAGAATGACAGTGCTGGTGAGCTTGTAGTGGGCCGTCCGGGCGCGGTCCTGGGCGTCGAAGACGTGGATACTATCCCAGCTGCCGTTGCTCTTGGGAGAGGGAGAGACAGCTTGACCACATCAGCTCAAACGCCCCCTTCTTTGAGGACAAATACATACCCTTCTTAAGCAAAACACACCCCGCAAACCCATCGTCCATATCCCAAAGGTAGACGCTCGAAATTCCGCCCTCGAAGTATCTACCACCCCTCGTCAGCATTCGTCCCCACAACCCCCCACTTCCTTAGGATTGTTACTCACAGCTCCCGATACACATCAAACGCCTCATTCGCCTTCACCTCCATCTTCCGTATCCGATCGCTCGGCGCAATGCCCTCCCCATCATCCAGCGGCGGCTGAAACTCATTACTCCACGGGCTCCGCCAGCTATCACCGTCCCGGTTGTAGTCGCAGCACAGGAAGTCGCGCTTCGTCTTGAGGCATTGCTTGACCGCAAGCGGGATATCGACGGATTCGAGGAGTTCTTCCGTCAGAGCGGGAGCGAGTTGGCAGAGGTAGTCGACGTTTTGCTTGACGTCTTTGGGGTTAAGGCGGCGGAGCAGGTCGCTAGTTTTCAGGATTAGTTGGGGGCTTTTGGAGGAGAATGCTGGGGAGCATACAGAGCGCTGTCGAGAGGGTCTGCGGAGGCCATGGTGTCGAGGGAGAAGCGGGCGGAGGATAGATGCCACGGCGTGTGGAGCATCGTCACTCGAAGTGGGCTGTGACTTGGCGCGACGCTTGGAGCAACGCCGCGAATGTCGGGGGTGCTGTGGTGTTTCTCACTCAATCAAGACATCGATCAAGATGACGAAGACTATAGTTCAAAGCTCAGACTCATAGATATCATTCACCGTCCCATCGCCCCTTCCCCTTCCATCCCTTTCAAACCTCCCTTTCCCTCACTACTTCGGCTTCTCCCCACTCCCCACCACCTCCCCAAACAGCTGCACCGGAGCCTCATTGCTATAATTCTTAGCGTCCGCAAAGATGGCTCCAATCTCCTCTTCAACGCCTGCCGCGGCTTTGAATGCATCCAACGAATCCCACACAAGCTCCGCCTTCACCGTGTACGGCCCCTCGGCGTATGTCTCGACGTGATACCGCTGCAGCCCGCGCGGATACCAGTACCCGACGACCAGCGGCAAGTGCGAGGAGAGGTAGTAGTCGAGGTCGAAGGTCGAAGTCGCGGTGCGCGGGTAGAAGATTGAAATTACGGTAGGCATGGCTGTGGTGGGGGTAGTTGTAGCGGGGTGAACTGAGGGGGAATGTTAAGATGTTTTAACAGGGGAGAATGGAGTAGATGAAGCCTACTTGAAAGATCGCTTATGATGTGTATGGATGCGGCGAGGTTTTGTATAGACTTCTTCTCTATGTAGGTAGAAGTAGGTATGTTTTCGACTCTTATGTAGCTGCGACAGCACTACAGTCACGTAATTCACCCCCCCCAACCAGCATTCCCGAGGCACTGTCCGCTCCACGGACTAATCCGCGTTCGCTCATTGTTCGACCTTTGAGCCCCTCAGGACAGCGTAAATTCGTTCTGCGCGAGTTAGTCCGTGGGCCGGATATATCCTGTCTTCCGACCCTTGAGCTCCTCCTGACAGCATACATCCGTTGTTTCGGAATCATTACTCGCGGGTTAGAGTCGTTAGCAATAAGAGGTGGAGTACAACACGCACGGTTGGCTAATGACATCCTCCGACGGCTTTTTACAAGTCCTACATTGGGGTTGAGTCTTCAGGCCTTGACTAAATGGTATAGAACATAAAGGACTCGAACTCCAAAGAAATATTTGCGGCTCGAAAATCCCATGGGTATCATGTCAGTCATGTCGTAAGATCGGCTATCGGCCTTGGGTGTGTCCCTTACGGCGTTTCCCCTTACGGCGTTTCCCTAGTTCTTCAACGCCGAATTAGCATCGTGTCAGTAGCATCGCCACGGCAACGTGATGTCGTGGCTTAATTTGGTGCATGTGGCATTTTAGAGTTTAGGTAAAGTAGCAGCTAATATAGTGTTTATGCGTCAACATCCTATTCATCGCCTAACATGGAGTTTTCCCGAACATGAAACTTTATCCGAACATTGAAAGTTTATCCGAACAGCGCAACTTGACACAGCAATATGTCTAAATATGAGTAGACATCTGATTCGGCACGGATGTACTGCCTACTCCGTGCCAACTCGACGTTGAAGATTTAGGGAAATGCCGTAAGGTCGATTGAAGCCCTATCGGGTTTCAACGATCTGAGGTAGATAAGTCGATATCCCTTTGGGGTGGTGTAAAGTGCCGTCTGTGGTGGTATCCAAGGTCGGGATCCAGCTTTCCTAACTTGGCGCTTCTCTTCTCACCAAGTCTAAGCTGACCTCTTCTCCTCCAATCATTCACTTCCACTGTACGCGTATCGCAATAGAATTGCATCTCGTTCACTCGTGCCAGCTCATTCCATCAGTGAGTCACCAGCCCTGTTTCGAAAGCGAGCACCATGCCGCTGTGCATTCAACAGCAGCCTAAGAGTGGGCGTGGACCCACATGGCTATCAGTATGCAGTCCTCACCGGTCACTAATTTGCTGAAGTGCTACGGTGCTACGTCGCGTCTGCGTTATGTTCCTCGTGTGCCAATCTATTACAGAGAAGGTGAGGGGTGGGACAGAGTGGGAAGGTGCACGAGGCGAGGATGTTGACGTTGGGATGCCCTCCTTCTAATTTCGCCTTTGTCAGTCTCCTCCAGTTCATCTTCTGTAATCTTCTGTCTTTATCGCTCTACTTTGGACTTCTTTACCCGTAATCTTAATCGTATCCGTGGACCTATTTCAGTCAAGACTGTGATTTCAATGAACTACTCCCGGAAACAATGCCACTATCACAGCTGTTCACAACTCAATGTTGTATCAGAAAGCGCGCGAAAGGTCGCGATCGTGTCGAGGAATCTTAAGGATCAACGCACGCGCACCAATGCCAATAAAGACAGCCATGTCTTGCTTGACGAAATAAGGGACGTTTGCGAGAAAATCTCATTAGAGACTAACAACTTTCACATGGTTCTTAAAGCGAAGGGAACACCTCCACACCTTGAAGATTCCATACAACAGCTAGCGACGAAATTTGCAAGCAGATGCTTCGATCTTCGTCCAGAGACAGCTAAGGTCCCGAACAACCCCAAATTGCTTGCCACATTTCTGAGGCAGTCTAATCGCATAACGCTGTTGAGTAGATTAAGCGAATGGCAATGTGATTGCCTGCAGCTGCTCATAGAATTTGATAGGTGGACAGCTCGGTACGTACCACGCGTTTGAAATGAGATAAAACGCAAGGTTTCAATGTAGCCTTACAAGCACTGACATAGGACATGTACATCTATTAGAACCGGCCAGGAGCCTATTAAAATACTATCAGCTGAAAAGGTCTCCCGCTACAGGGTTCGAGAGAACGAAACTGCTCCTAAAGAGGACATCGAGTTGTTTTGTAAGAGGTATTTGGATCCAGAAATAGGCATCCAATTCAGACCTTGCGATTACAGCTACGGCTTCTCAATGTCCTAGGACCCTGTATGATCCCTTCTCCGTCCTCAGATATCGATAATCCTCAATGTACTAGGTTGAATTGGATCTATGCCACATACGGACTATTCCACTGCCTGGGGACAAGATCGAGGACTATTTGAAGAGTGTGGTAAGCACCTGGCTGAAACTACGTCTTAGAGAACATAATACTGACTGCTCGCAAAGTCGCTTACCGATATGAGTGGATGTGGAAAGCTGCCATCTTTGAACTTGATGTTCGTGCCCCAGTTTCCCCGTGAGAAATCGTCGCTAAAACACTTGTGCAGTGTCGGTAGTTGGCACATGTCTAACTACCATTTAATCGTACCCTTTTCTAGACTACAATTTCTCAGTATTCTGAGGCACTTCGATATTCCATCTGCTTACCTGCAGATCTTATTCACGCAAACCGCACAGACATTGAGATACAAGCACGAAGGCTCTTTGGAAAAGCATAGTAAGTAATGTAAACCTACTTCAAGCTCTGAGTAACTCTCAAAGTCATAACTAGGACCACAGGCTTTATATACCGATCGCCATCCACCGAGCTGCGAAAAGCAAATTGGGCTTTATTAGGAATGGGACCGACAGAGTCGGAAAACATTCTCGCCAGTCTGAATTCCATGAAAATGGAGAGTTTCCATCCCGTGCATATTCCAGTCTGGCTTTGCGAAACCCAAACTGACAAAAATTCGGACTTGATCAAGCGGCATGCGTCTGATCTTCGGGATTCAAATCGTAAGTGCCTTGCGACTAGGTATCATCGTAAAATGATTCCTGATCGGGAGCTTGACTATCGCGAGATGACCACGGGTCTCATTGCCATTACCTCACAGCTTTCGCTGCTTCAGTTGAGATTTGAGAGTAACATGGACTCCTTGAATTACATTGCGGAATGCGAATGTTGCTTCAGTGAGAATGAAAAGGTCAAGGGAGTCCTTCAAGAAAAAATACACCAACTGGACGTGGAAAATCGAGCTTTGCTGGCCGAAGTGAAATGCCATCAACGGATTGCACAGTCTCTAATGCAATTGGTAAGCTGTTCCAAACCTATTGAACTATGCCCTGGGTCTGCACCTAACCTGTCACTCAAGGTGTTCAACATGATCACCGAAAGAGACAACGGAGCAAACCTGAGCATGGCAAAAGCGTCGTGAGACCTCGCCGAAGCTACGAAAGCTGATAGCTCTGCGATGCGGACTCTTGCGTTCATGAGCATAGTATTCCTGCCAACAACCTTTGTATCGGTAAGCCACCACAATACTATTAGTTTCGAATACCTTCACCAACAGCCTCTAACGCTAAGAATCTAGTCCTTCTTCTCGATGAGCATGTTCGACTGGCGAGCTCCACAATGGACGTCAATTGTTTCCAAGAGAATGTGGATTTACTGGACCGTGTCTATCCCGCTTACGCTCATCATTATCGTGATCTGGCAACTATGGCTGGTAATTTTCCAACATTGAATGTCGTCGCACACGGCTGATATTCTGCAGCGTATCGATATCGATCATTACCAAAAGTCAACGCAATCGAATAGCGTTTCTTCTGGACCAAAGACGGAAGACTCTTCTACTAAGTTGAGCCCCAAGAAGGTGGCGGAGAAGATGAGGGAATGGTCTCGTCTGCGAATGCGCAGACGAAAACCCTCAAACGATGAAGAGGCTGGCACGACGGAACAAGCGAGTTGATTTCCATCCTACCATCAATACGCATAGTATCGCTCAGTGCGGCGGGCGACGATCAGATACGACCAAATGGCAAAGCAAATATACGAGCTGTGAAGGGTGTTTCAGATGCGGTTTCTAACTCACGTGCATACCATGTGAAAGGCTTCATGGTTCCCCTCCTTTCTACTCGCCTTGATGCCATGGCGTTTCAGCAGCCGGTTTACAGGCTTCGAAACGATCTTGCCACCTTCCTACTCGCACGCATGCCTGCTTCTCTATCACCAGAACAATTGCAAACTCTCATGCCTACAATACACCTTGACTTGAATACCCTCACTCTTACAAAGTGCAGTTGCCGTTAACATTGAGTGCGCGGCAGGCATCAGTCATGACCTGCATAGAGCAACGCCTCCTAACCTTTCACCCCAATCGGAGAATTAAGGCCGAGACAATGCCTAGGCTTTACGCCAAGACTAGGATTTGGCAATACAATAGTTAACCGACACGTCCGTTACGTGAGCTGGGCGACCCTTCACACTTGGACCTCCTATGCATGAATGCATGGCTTGCATCATCAAAAATCTGGGGTATTGCAACCTCAGGGTCTGCCATGCTAGTGACAGGGTGGCGAACCGTTAACGAGGTCACCTGGCACAAGATTCTGACAGGCCGCGCTGAAGGGGTGGAGTGGTAGGGCAGGGAGGTGGGCAACGCAGCGCAATAACGCGGTTCAAGGGGCTTGGATCGGGAGGTTGTTTAAAGCGACTGGGCGCTAGCCATCCCCACACGAACTGCCAGATAGAATAAAATGTCCGGGCAGCGGCGGACGGCGGCCCTGCATGACGACGCTGGCGCCGCGTGCTGTGGTTGGTGGTTGCATTCGCAAAGCGTGGTGGGAAGGCGGTGTGGCGGTGAAATGCATCTGGTGCCTGCGTCGGATCGGCCTCTTCGGCGGGGCACGGGCAGCGCAACCGTCGCGCAACTGCCCGGATGAGCTGGCGTAGTGCGAACCGGGGCCCGTGTCGCGGCCAATACGAGGCCTCGCCCAAGAGCGGCGTGGCTGCGGAAATTGCTCGCTGACGTCGCCGACAACACCCGCGAGACGGGAGATGAAGACGAGGAGCGTTTTTCTGCGGTTTTGATGGGCTGGAGACGGCACTGGAGCGGCTGGAGGCCTCAATTGCCGCCGTTGCTCTCGTCGGCGGCCTTGTGACCTGCATCGTTCATGAGGTGTGCACGCGAAACCTTGGAAGGCGCTGTGGATGGCCGGGGAGATTAGATAGCCTAACCCGTGTTGAGCAGTGGACCAAGGCTGTTCAACCGCTTCCAGCACTTCCCCAGATCTTTCATTTCCACTCGCCCACGCACGCCCAACCCATCATGATCGTAGCCTCGTCCGCCCATCCCCAAAGCAGAGGCCCAACCGCAGCGCGTTGCCATGCTCATTTCTCCCCCTGATGCTAGCCGGACGCTATGGCGCCGTACCTGCGTCTGTCAAAACCTCACCCCTCCCGCTCTCGTGAGAGACCTTCTCCAGCAAGGCCCTCTGTTCCTCACAGCCTCTCAAGTTTGGCATCTTGCCTAGCCACTCGTTTGCAATTAATCTAATACCGGCTTCACTCGTTCAGCCGTCCACCCTCTATATCTCTTCTTAATTTCACCAAAATCCCCATATCAACAAACCCCGTGCTCCGTATTATTTGATCATGAAGGGTGCTTTTGTCGCGGCTTCGGCTGCTTCGCTGATCGGCGCAGTTGCGGCGTCGCATCAAGGCCATGTGGGCTTCCATAATCGTAGGGGCATCTACGGTTCCGCTCCCGTTGGAACCGCCGTGGGAACTGGTGCGCCGTACCCGTACGGCGAGGTGTGCTCTGTCTACACCTCTACCTACACCGGAGAGGGAGGATGTATGTTTGACTTACTGTTTCCTCCGCTTACATTGAGATTCTTCAATTCCGAACCATCCGCGGATAAAGGATTTATATTAACATCATCCAGGGGTCCCCAAACCCACTACATATGCTGCCAACAGCACAGTCTACTTGGCCCCATCTCCCATTGCCGCCCCCACCTCCTCAGTGGTTGTTGTCCCCGTCCCTACTCCTGAGGTGACGACCTGCGAGACCCCAGGCACCTACACTTTCCCGGCCAAGACCATCGTCGTCATAGAGACAACCACTGTCTGCGGTGCCAAGACCACCGTCGTCCCGCCCGGAGAGCACACCTATGGCGGCGAGACCACCTCCGTTGCTACTGAGACCACCGTGACCTTGCCGTACGCCACGACCTCGAGCGTCGGCTCGACTATCACCAGCGTCATCCTGACCACGACCTACGTCTGCCCGTCCGCTGGCGAGTACACTTTCGGTGCTACTACCTCCAGCTACTCCGAGACTGCCACCGTGGTCTACCCCACCATCTCTACTTTCACCCCGGGCACCTACACTCACCCCGAGACGACCGTGACTATTATTAAGACTTCCGAGATCTTCGTCTGCCCGTACTCGCCATCCACTACGAGCTCCGTCTACGTTGCGCCCTCGTCGTCTGTCGTCGCCTATGTGACTCCCTCCTCGAAGGCTGTCTACTCCGCTCCAGCTTACAGTGCCCCTGCGTACTCTGCCCCGGCACCAGTCTACTCGGCACCAGCCAAGCCCGCCTACAGCGCGCCGGCCTACAGTGCCCCCGCTAAGCCCGCTTACAGTGCTCCCGCCTACAGTGCCCCCGCTAAGCCCGCTTACAGTGCTCCCGCCTACAGTGCCCCTGCCAAGCCCAGTGCTCCCAGCGTTTCCTATGGTGGAACTCCCCTCCACAAGACCAACGGGAACCAGTGGGCCATGACCTACACCCCCTACACCGAATCCGGCTCCTGCAAGACCGCAAGCGAAGTCATGTACGACATCGGCGTAATCAAGAACCTCGGCTTCACCACCGTCCGCACCTACAGCACCGACTGTGGCGGACTCGAGAGCATCGGCGCTGCCTGCAAGGAGCACAAGGTGCTGATGATCCTCGGCGTGTTTATTAAGGACGCGGCGACGTTCGAGTCCGGCTGCGACGAGCAGGTCGGCGACATCATCACGTGGGGCAAGGCGGGCAACTGGGATCTGGTCGCCATGGTCGTCATCGGCAACGAGGCCATCTTCCACGAGTATTGCACTGCGGGCGAGCTGGCCGCCTACATCACCAAGGCCAAGGCGAAGATCCAGGGCGCCGGTCTGCCCAGCACCGTGCCCTTCACGACCACCGACGCCGTCTCCGCCATCCTCGAGTTCGGCAGCGCGCTCTGCGACTCCATCGACGTGCTTGCCGCCAACGTGCAGCCCTTTTTCACCAGCTCGGTGTACGCGAACAAGGCCGGCGAGGAGGTCAAGAAGCAGCTCGAGGCCATCTCGGTCGTCTGCCCCGGGCCGGCCGCGAAGGGCTTGTACAACCTGGAGTCTGGCTGGCCGACCGGCGGCGAGCAGAACGGCAACGCGAAGCCTGGGAAGGCGGAGCAGAGGGCGGCGATCAAGAACATCATCGAGGTCTGCGGGCACCAGAGTGTGATCTTCAGCTATGGGAATGATGAGTGGAAGGCGCCCGGGCAGTTTGGTGTGGAGCAGACTTGGGGGTGTGCTGACAACCTTGCCATCTAAGTGTCCTCGCGGCTCTTAGAGTTTGAGGTGGTGGCGGAAGGACGGGAAGGGAAGGTTGCATATGCATAGCCAGGAGTCTCAACTATCACATTGTCAAAGGGGGATTTTGCATATGGGCGGGGTTGTTTTTTTTTTAAAAAAAAACAGTAGTTCGAGGAGGGTCTGGGTCTATTGTATCATTAGTACCGCTCTGTCAATACGTCGCTACGTTATGTGTTTACGCTTCCTGCTGGTGCGTTTGTACTTTTGGGGGGCAAGGATGGAAGGGATGTCCTTTGGTTATTTTTTAGTGTCTAATTTCGAGATTTGTTTATCTGACCACCCAATCTACAAGTTTGTTTTTGGGTATGTAAGTTTTAAGGAGAAGTATTGTGTCCGCGCATGTTGATCGTAGGCATTTGAAATGGACGCATGATGAAGGTATATCACGTGCTGAGAGTATCAGGCTTAGCGCTCTTCAAGACCCACTTTTCTTATGAGCTCCACTCCTTAAACTCAACCTCATTCCATCCATCGCTCAGCATGAAGTTTTCGCTTTCTTTTACGTCTCAATTGCCTACAGATCATCCTCAAGGGCCCTAAGAGGGATGACTAAAACGATCCCCTGCCCTGCTAATCAATCGTAGCTTTCTTCTTCCATGGTGGCGGAATCTTCACATCCTCAGATGCGGAAAGGCTGCAGCCACCCAGCACCGCCCTTCTACAAAAGAGGAGGGAATGCATTGTCTTCGGCTCGGGTAGCTCGTTATTGGCTCCTATCCGTATCAGGATGCATCTTGATCCTAAAAAAGATGTGTGGAACGCCACGTTTTCAGCCTCGCAGCAAACGCGGGAGAGATCCCAATGGTATTTAGAGCGTGGCTCCCGTCTTTTGTTCCACTCCTCTTTAGCTGTTAATTCTTTCAGGGTGCTGGCATTTGCTTTTGAAAACACGATGGATCCGAATATTGTTGTGTACACCAGCGTCACCACACCAGATGAGACGCCACCACCCCAAACTATCCCTAGCAGCAATGCAATATCAACAACCTTCACTGCAGCATTCAGCCCCTCACTTAGGTCGTCTGCCACAGCTATATGGTCGGCCGGGCCAGCCTCTTTTACAACAAGCTCGTCCCAGACTCCGTCATCAGGTCTCACAATCGTCGCCAAACTCGTCATCGGCATCAGCATCCCGCTAGCAGTGGTTGCTATAGCATTCGGCATCGTCATTTTCTTCCACAGGAGGCAGGAAAAGGGAAAGCTTAACCCAGAAAAAGGACCCGCCGAAACAACATCCCAATACTTTGCAGATAACCCCTCGCCTCTCGTTGCGGAGCTGCACGACCACAGCACGGTTCCAATCTGGCATGAGCTCCCTGGTCATCCATCTGCAGAGGCTGAGAACTACCGTTCTAAATCTGCGAGCTCGTCTGTACACGAGCTTCGCCAGGCTGAGGCCGCGCAAGAATTTGATGCACGCGAGCTACAGCGTCAGGCCTCGTTAGCTGCCTCTGTGCACGCACCCCACGAGCTCTCAGCCTCGAGGTCGCGGCAGGCGACTCCTGCACCTCCAGTCTCTGCTGTTTCTACCATCGAGCCCCAAGGCCCCTTAGTCCCACCAATACCACAGTCTTCAATACCACATAACTCTACCCCCACGACTACGGGTGCACAAACCGAATATCCACAGCGTCCTACCTCTCCTATCGATGACAACGCTAGCGTCCACGTTTCTCGGCATGCATCAACTATTGCGGGTAGAACAACGAATGACGATGCGGAGCTGGCACAAATAGAAGAAGCGATGGCGCGGCTACGGAATCAGAAGAAATTACTACAAGAGCTGAGAGATGTGGAGAGGCAGGAAGCAGAGATGGAGAGACGGAGGAAGGAGTTAAGGAGGGCGAGGGGTGGATCTGGAGGGTCAGGGGATTGAGGGTTACAGGGGTAGTAAAGGAGTGAGTGGTGTGTATATAGGATACCCCTGTGAGACTATACCTATCAAGCTAATCATAACGTATTTTCTGCGACACTATAACACCAAAGTTAACTAGTGTAGTGGCAAGATGACTTAAGAATCTTTTACATGATCACGTGAGTCGAATGTTACGCAAATGCGGAGCAATATGACGAATCCGCGATCGACGTGGCACTTGATTTACAATACTTAGGAATCCCATGCTTTATCCATATTGATGCAACCTCCAAGAAGGCGAAAAGGTTCTGTAACAATGCCAATATGATTGATTCTAAGCCAATAAAATCGGTGGCGGTGATTGGTGCTGGGGCTGCAGGTAGGTACTTCAGGTTCTGTTGCGCCCCGGTTCTTTACCCAGACTTCTCAAATCTAATGACCGCGTATTCTAACCTCTTACTAGGTGTTATCACAGCCGCGGCATTATCACGGGAGAAGTACTTTGATACAATACGCGTTTTTGAGCGGCGTGATGGTGCTGGGGGCACATGGTATGGTTGAACTCAACTCGCACTTCTACTAACAGTAACTTTCGTAGCTAACCATACCCTAGGATATATGATGCCGACCCCACACCACCGATCGAGATAGCCCCCGGAAAGCTTCCACCAGATGTTGATCCTCCGCTGTCAATACCTAAAACCCTCCCAACGTCAACGCCTCCAAACCGCCAAGAACGATTCGAGAAAACGCCAATATATGACTCGCTCACGTGAGACCCACCCAACCAGTAAGAAAGACTTGAATCAAGTCACTAATCCTGTCTCAACAGCACCAACGTCCCCGACATCGCCATGTCTTTCTCCGACATCCCCTTCCCCGGCGGCCCCTTCGTGCCCCACGAAGTCCCCCACCACTACCTCGAAGACTACGTGACCGCCCACAAGCTCGCCCCTTACTTCGTCTTCAACACCACCGTCGAAGACGTCTCCAAACTCCCCTCTCCCGCAGGCCGCGAGCGCTGGAAACTCACCCTCCGCCGCCACGCCCCCGACCGCGCGGTCGACGAATGGTGGAGCGAGGAGTTCGACGCCGTGGTCATCGGGAACGGGCATTACTCTGTCCCTTTCGTATGCTCCCCTCCCTTTCCCCCGTTCCCTCCCCACATTCCCCCTCCTCTTTTTAACACCCCGTCAAGATCCCCGAAGTGAAGGGCTTGAAAAAATACACCACCCTCTTCCCCACGCGCATCACCCACTCCAAATACTACCGCACCCCGCACCCCTACGCCAACAAACGCGTCCTCATCATCGGCAACTCCGCCTCCGGCCACGACATCACCGCCGAGCTAGTCTCCCACGCCGCGCTGCCCGTCTACCAATCGCGCCGCACGGCCTCGCGCTGGGACGGGCCCACGCCGCCGCCGGGCATGGCGTGGAAGCCCATCATCAGCGAGTTCCTGCCCAGCGGGCGGATCGTGTTCGAAGACGGCTCGCACCTCGACGACATGGACGCCGTGGTCTACGCGACCGGCTACCGGGCCTCGTTCCCGTTCTGGAACGCGCGCGCGAACGGCGGCCCGATCTGGGACTACCAGAACGCGAAGGTCGTGAACGGGTACTGGCACACCTTCCTCCACACGTATCCCACGATCGGACTCGTGGGCGTGCCGCGCGTGCTGACCTTCCGCAGCTGGGAGTACCAGGCCATCACGCTCGCGCGGTTGTTCGCGGGCCGGCTGGCGAAGCCGCTCCCGCCCGTCGCGGAGCAGAGGAGGTGGGAGCGGCGGAGGTTGGAGCGGACGGGGCACGAGGGGCTGAAGTTTCATGATGTGCAGTGGGAGACGGGGGAGACGCACGGGTGGCTGAGGGGCTTGTTTGAGTGGGCGGGATTGGGGACGCTGGAGGGGGAGGGGAGGCTGCCGCCGGCGTTGACGAAGGAGGTGGTGTGGGCGATTGAGCATTTGCGGAAGTATCCGGAGCCGGGGAAGGGGGGGAGGGATGAGGGAGATGGGGAGGGAGAGGGAGAGGGAGCAGGAGAGGATGGGTGGGTGGTTGTGACAGGGGCAAAGAAAGATTTGTTGCATTTTGTTTAGGCGAGTATGAGAGAAGATAGATTAATGAAGAGATTAGACTGCACTTTTCATAGAAACATCGATGATGTAGGAGTAGCAATATCTTACCGCCCACGCCGACTAATCCCCAACTGCTGCTCCCGAATCGCATGCCTCGTCCGATCCGACACCCGCCTCAGGATCATCTGCCACTCATTCAGTCGCCGGGCCTGGTCTTCAACAACCCTCTCTCGCTCCACGAGCTCTGATTGCAGTTTCGCATTCCTCAGCTTGATCGCTGAATACTTCGAGTCGAAATCGTTAACCAGCTCCGCAAACGCCCTCAGTCTTGCATTCAATTTCTCCTCCTCCGCCGCCAGCTTCTCCTGCGCGCCCACCAGCGCTATCTCCCGCTCCCCAAGCCCCACATGCTGCTTCCTTAACGCCTCCACCCGCGCCCCCACCATCCGCCGCACCACCACCGCCACACCCTCTTCCACCCGCGCCCTGGACGCCCCCTCATCCGCCTCCAACGCCCTCGTCCGCTCCGCCAACTCCGCGGTACTCCGCGCCTCGTCTTCTCTCAGCTCCCGCCTCCTCGTCCTCAACGCCTCCGCTTGCGCATCCAGGCGCGCCTCCTCGGCTTCCACCATCCTCTCTTCTTCCGCCAGCTGCTTCGCCACCCGCACATTCTCCGCTTCCTGCGCGCGGGCCCCAGCCTCGCGCACATCCAGCTCCAGCCCCCGCGTCCAGCTCCACGCCTCCAGCTCGCGCCGCCAATGGCACAGCCGCCACTCGTACTCGGTCCCATGGTCGCCTAGCATGCACGTGTCGTCGTGGCAGGTTATCGCGAGCGGCGCTAGCTCTTCTGCCGATGAACTTGAGCCGGTTTGCGCGGGGCGGAGGCTGGAGAGCTCGATGGCGGAGTCGCACGCGGACGCGGACTGGGGGCTGTGGCTGCGGCGGGTGCGTGTTTGCGCGCGCGTCATGTAGCATTGCGCGATGGCGGCCGTGGTGCCGGCGAGGCCGATGGCGGCGCCGACGGAGCCGGTGACGAGGCCGACGACGGTGTCGGAGCTAAGGGCGGCGCTGCGGGCGGTGAGGGTGGAAGGGGTGAGGAGGGAGAAGGGGGAGGGGGTGGTGAGGGGAGGAGGGGCGGCGGGGATGGTTTGGTGTTGGAGGAGGTTCTGGGGTGGGGTGTTTTGGGGTGGGAGTTCTGGAGTTTGGGCGATGAAGTTGTGGGAGTCTGGTAGGATGTTGTGGGAGTCCGGTAGTCCTGGTTCGGGCTGGAGGTAGTTGTTTGCTTGGAGGTTGGATATGATCGATTGGGGTTGAATCTGGGGTGCGTATGAGTCGTCTGCGAACCACTCCAGAGCCCCATCATCTCTGAGCTGAGGCGCGCTCTTCGTTTTTCTCAACAAGAGCCTTCGAGTGAGTTTTGTTTGAGATGGTGGCTCTTCCTCCTTCGGAAAAGACCGTGGTGAGAAATCTGGCGTGGGAGTGTGACTAGATTCGTCAGGGAGAGCGGTTGCGAGGCGGTAGTAGTATCTCGATTCTTCCATGACTAGAAGCCTAAGGGTGGCATCATTGGGCGAGTCATAGGTGTTTATATGCCCCAACCGCTCACCGACCAAGGACGTGGCGCATGTGCGAGGGCGCCCATGTCAGGCTGAGGCTAAGTGCATGCATTATGCATGAGCCAGAACCCCTCATTGTTCCTTTCCCTGTTCTAGACGGAGCGTTGGCTAGGAATAAAACACACATACTTCGTAGAGACATTTCTTTAATTGCAAGCATGTAGAAGGCCCTTGAATAGTGATATGAGCCTTTGAACGCGTTGTAGAGGGGCTGTGTAAGAAGCAGCGGGAAAGGAGAAACGCTGTGCAAAAGCATGAGTGAATGGCATATAGGACATGAACGTAGCGACCTTACATCGATTAAAAGTTTCAATTTCAATGCGCTTGATTAGATACAGATATATTAGGTTACCGACAATGGTGACGGAGAAGGTAACTAGGGATGGAGTTGCTGAGATGACAGCTCTGCCAGAGGCATTAGTAAAAGCAGCCACTAATCTACATACAGTAAGGCGCATCTCCCTCAACCTCATCGATTCCCAGGCTGGCCTCGAAGGCGCACAACCACGGCTCCAATCGGAGCCTATCGACCAAATGTCATTGGTGGTAATAACCGGTAAAGCCACAGTTGACAAGACTTATCGCTGCACAGATACGAGATGCATGGCGCCCCCATGTCTCAGACCCCTCACCTGGCATGAACAACAGAACAACGTTAGGTAGCCTTCCTCATCTCGATTTCATCCTTATTCCATCATCATCATCATCTTCTTCTTCTTCTATATATCTGATTCATTGGTGGATACGTGATCCTGTAAGCTACGCTACGCGTTGGAGTGATGCCATGGCGTCCACCTTGAATATCTACAGAGTCCCAGGCAGAACTCTTTCCATCCTGCCATGCGCCTCTATAGAGGGCGGCTGCGAGCTTCATCGTTTCGGGCGGAATCAGCCTTGTCTAGAGGCTGCTACATCAACCGAGATCCCCTCGAATCCACCGGCTACTACGGCATCAGTTCTTTTACCGAAACTGTCAAAGAGGTCATCGACGTTTCTACGTTTGTCATCTCCAACTGTTGCATCTCTCAGGATTCCTTGGATTACTCTTCGGTCTACGAAGACGAGTCAAAATGCGGATGCAAAAATTCCACCCCTTCTTACTCTCCCCGTCGAGCTACTCCAGGCAATTTCCCTCCTTCTCCCAAACTCTTCTTTCGTGTCTCTCACCCTGACCTGCACGGCTCTCGCTACGGCTCTCGGCACCCGACTTTGGACTTCCCTCACCAAGTCAAAATATCTTAACGATCCCGACGGCGAAGAAGAATACCACAGCCTCCTCATCCTCCTCCAACGGGATCGACCCAGCTATCGCCTATGTAAACCATGCGGCACTATTCACAGCCCAAGGCACTCCACCATCTCAATCCCCCGGAATGTCTTAACCAAGCGTGACGCGCCGCCATCAATTATTCGGCGCACGGCGCTTTTTTTCCTCGAGCCAGGGCTGTGGGCGGGTTTCTCGTATCTCATCAAAGGGAACAGGATCGAAGTCGCAGCAGATATAACAGGTCGGACCCGGCGTCCGGCATACTGGCTATCTCATGCACATATTGAATCAGCGACGGCGAAACGCATATGCCTCGCCACACTCTCTTGCAAAGCAAAGTACGCCATGCCACTCACGCTCTACGATGATTCACTTGACGACATGGACTCTGGTTCTTTAGACACTACGCTCGAGTTTGAATATGAGGTTACGCCACTCCGGGGTCGTCGAAACATACTCCTCTTTCAAACAACCTTCACGTTCCGATTCGTGACCAAAGACGCAGATAATCCCGAACAGAGGCGGCTCGATACCGTGGGCAAGCAACATGAGGCCAGCATCTTCTATTTCATGTCGCAATGTGTGGATATGCGACCATGTGTACATGCACCGTCGGATCTTCTTATCGACGAGGCCATGTGCCTTCTGTTCCACCAGACAATGGGATCGCCGCATCGGGCTTGTCTAGTCTGCGATCGGGCGGTTGCAGCGCATGAAGAACTGAATGGGTCTGGCTCTGGGCCAAACGAGGCCCCCATAGGCACAGTCGTAGTATCTAATGCTGCAGCACCCAATAATGTAGCGCCAAATGCTGTAGCGACTACGTCTACGACCCCGCCAGCTGCATCACCTGCATCCGATGTAGTTGAAACTAGTCCCATCGAACTTGGTACATCTGGGATCTCTAAAGGCCAGCTGAGATGGGAATCCCAACGACGATCGAAGCAGGAAGACTGGTATGCACATCGCTCCTGCGACTGTATCCAGGACTTTGAATTGTCTGTGACGGATGGGGCGCCACAAAATGGAGAGCCAAACCACCGCATAGAGAACGTGGAAGTCAAGATCTGGAATATGTTTGGCGAGAGGCCGGGGGAGAGAGATGCGGCGATCAGACAGCCAGGGATGTTGAGGCAGTTGTGGTATGATGAGCAATGGAGCGATCTGTATTAAGTATGCTTCGAGTGAGATTCATGACTACGGTAATTTTACATCTTCAATTCAATATTTTCATTGGCCCAGTGGTGTCTGACTGTCCTGTCTACGGTATCAAAATGTGCGTGCAGCTGGTGAGTTTCAAGACGACGAGGGCTTTACATTGTAGGTGTGATTCTCACTATATATCTGGGGTACTTCAAGATCCTATCGACACCCGCAAAGTTCAGATCTAGGAAGTGAGAATCAAGACCTCAGATATCTTACATCAATTGTGCAGTTCTCCTTGCCTACCCTCGGGGGTGTCTCCAGGTCCTATCAACACCCGAATAACTCACATCCGTCGCACGCGATTCTCACCCTCCAACCTTCGCCATCCTCTTTACCACCGCAGAATGGATTCAGAGCAGAATAAGGGTGTCCAGCCGTCACGCGGTCCTATGGGTGAGGTAAAATGTCCACCTCATTGCCCCACTTTTTCCTCTGTTGTGATATAAAACCACATCAACGTCTCTCGGTCACATCTTCACGCCTTCAACATTCACCTCACCTTGCCTTGCCGTGCCGTCGCGCCGCAAAAAGCCGAAGAACGCGCTAATAGACCAAGAGATAACTACAGCAAGCGCCTAGAATGTCCAACAGCGTCCCTCCCAGCCTCACAGACAGCGTCACCGAAGCGTCCTCCGCCGGCCCTCCAACACCTCCACCAGGTGCAGCTCCGCGGCGCGCTCCCGGCCCAAACATCATCAATTGGCTCCAGAACGTCGCCGCAAACACACCCACCCTGCCGCTTCGTCCTGCCACTCTTCCAGCAGAAGACCCGGAAGCCTGGCCTCATCCTCTTCCGCCGCCAGCACCGCGCCCTAGATTCGCGCAGCTACATCGCCTAACCGGCCCGGCTCCGTTCCCTCCTACGTCCCCTCCGCGTCCTGCGCCTACTACACAGCGTCCTGAGCCTACTGCTCCGCGTGCTGAGCCTTCGACTCCGAGTACTGAACCTACCACTCCGCGTCACGAACCTACCACTCCACGTCCCACTACACCTACCCCTCTCCCGCCAACCATGCCACCAAGACCACACCACCCCCCACCACCCGGCCCCCCCTTCGTCCTCGCAACCCCCCCTCCGCCTGTCCCCGCGCGCCCGCTTACGCCGCTCGAAGCACAAATCATGCGCGCCTACTCAACCGCGCTCCTCGACCCCTCGCGTACGACGCTGCCCTTCCCGCGCGCGCGCCAAGAAGCAGAAGAAGCCGCCATCGCCGCTGGAACAGCGCTCATCAGGACCGGGAGGGTGCGCGACGGGCTGCCGCCGCTGACGCTCGCGGAAGAAGGGGCGCTGGCGGCGGCGATTCGGCGGCTGCTGGACCCGGGGAATGGGAGATACAGGGCGCAGAATGGGTGGTTGGGGAGGAATGGGGGCGCTGTTGGGGGAAGGTTGGGGGAGCCGGAGGGGTTGGAGGAGAGGCAGAGGGCGTGGGTGAGGGAGAGGAGGGGGGAGGGGGTGCAGGCGGCGGTGGCGGCGGCGGGGATGAGGGGTGGAGAGAGGGGTGGTGTGGAGGAGAATTCCGGAAATGAGGATGAGCAGATTTGAAGCGTGTGGCTGAAGGGTAGTGGATTGAGAGCGAGAATTGGAAGTTGGAATTCTTGGTTTTGCTGCCTCTGATGAGCTATTGAGGTGGCTTCAATACGGCTAGTAGTTGTACAAAATGCGATGAGATGACTTCTGATTTGAAGACTTGTTCTATGACATGGTGATCGTGATATTGTATTTCTACACGCCGAAATCTCGTAGTGTGTGTAGGAGTTTTGCGGGGGGCAAATGCATAGGGGTACCTCATGACGAACTAGGATTCTACATGTTGGATGTAATAGTTAGGGCACTCTAAATCGATTCCCGTTTACGTAGGTTACAGATATCGTACTATATTTTTAAGCTCTCTAAATCACGCGGTATATGTAGAAATTTTTGCGTGGGAGATAAATATATAGGGGCACCCTATAACGAATCAGAATTCTACACATTGGATGTATTGTTTAAGACACTCTAAATCGAAACCCGTTTACGTATATTACAGATACTGTACTATAATTTTACACGCTCCAAATCACACAGTGCAGGGGGAACTGCTGTACACGTAGTAAATACACGGAGACCTCTCACGATGTTGCACGATTGAAAATAACGGATGTAATAGTTATGAGCCTTCAAATTAGCTCTTTTCTAATAAGGCTCTACATAGCATATGAATTCCCAAAGAAGTGAAATCTCATAGTGCAACTAGTAATTCTGCGATCGTAGTAAACACAGGGAGACTCCTCACGACAATTCAGGCTGAAAAGCAGGGGATGTCAAAGTTGTGACCCTCCAAATTAGCGCCCTCCCGATTATGCTCTTGATAAGGTCCGAAATCCCACAAAGGTCAAATTTCACGGGGCGAACAGTAATTTTGCAGTCTAGGTAAGCTCATGGAGCCACCTCACGACGTTCCATGATTAAAAATAATGGATACAACAGTCTTAAGCCTCCAAATCAGCTCTCTTCTAATGAAGCTCTAGAAAGCGTACGAAGTTATATGAAGGTAAAATTTCACGGTGTAAGCAGCGATTCTGCGGGCTAGGTTAGGCTATGAAGCCACCTCATGACAATCCGAAATTGAAAATAGTGGATGGGATAGTTTCGATGCTCCAAATCAGCACCCTCCCAGGGAAGCTCTGGATAACGTGCGAAATCCCATAAATATGGATTCTCACGGTGCGAGCAGTAAGTCTGCGGTCCACGTAAACATATGGAGCCACCTCACGACATTCCACTATTAAAGGCAGAGGATGTAACAGTTCCAATCCTTCAAATTAGCATTTATCCAATAAGGCCCTAGAAAGCGTGCGAAATCCTATGAAAGTTAAATCTTACGCTGCAGGTAACAACTTTATGGACGTGGTAAGCACATGGAGCCACCCCACGACGCTCTAAATCAACTCCGCTCCGCGAGGTTTGCGGAATGCGATGCGGAATATAACACGCTTGAAATCTAAGAGCCCGGATAGGAGGTCTGCACACGTGTTGAACGCTTCGAAGCAAGTCACGGGGGTCGCAAACTATGTTCATAGGATGTAGTAGTCGAAGCATTTTGAATCTGCCTTTGGTTTATGGATCCTGTGAATCCTATACGAATTGGCTTACACTTTAGATCTCGTGACTTGGGTAGGAACGCTGCACACTTACCAATGGCTTTGAAGCATGTCACGACGTTGAGGAAAAGGGGTCCTTCGATGTAATATTCAACACATCCTAAAGTAGCCCCTGGTTCGCGCATACAGTGGATCATATATAATCAGCTTGCCTTTATTTCTTGGGGTCGGCATGGAAGTTCTGGGAAAGTCTCGAACGCTTTAGAGTACGTCACGACAATAGAAAATAATAGCTCATTCAATGTCAAAAGCGAGACATCATGAATCAGAGCTGCTTTTGCAAACGGGGTTGAGAGCATGAAGTAAGCCCCAGCCAATAGGATGGACGAGCTAGTGGCCTAGCTTACCGAGAGATTTATCGACGTCAATCCTCGATTTTCCGTCACCGCTCGAAACGAATCCATCACAACTCGCAATGGATTCATCAGTCACAAAGAAGAAGCAAGTCTGCAGGAGCTGTAGACAGCGCAAGAAGCGTTGTGATGTAGGCTAAATTCCATCTTCGCTGCATCGTGGTACTAAATCTCGTTGCGCAGGGCGCTAGACCGTCATGCTCGCTATGCCGCAAGCTAAATGTTACTTGTTCCTACATTGTGTCAAATCCAAATTCCGGCTCTATTCATGCTTCGCATGTAGACTGTATGCCTTCGACTGAACGGTCTTCCTGGGTGTTGAATGGGAATGTCGACCATCCTAGCCTTTTTCAACTTGATGATTATCCAGACTTATCGTCAAAAGGGTTCTTCCACATTCAACGCGGCTCTCTCGATTCGCAGCTTCCATTTACAGCCCTTGGTGTGTCAAATGCTCCGGTCGACTATACACCGCCGACTTCGTTTGGCGACTCCGCTATCTCCGACATGACATGGCAGCAAGACAGCATTGAAGACTTCGACCAAGCATCCAATGATGCAATATTTCCTGCTAACCTCCCCCCTCAAGCTCAAATCATGGAGCTTGTTGAACTGTTCTTTTCGAACTCCTATGCGTTCCTGCCTTGTGTCCATAAGTCGGAACTTCTCAAAGACGTCAAGAGCGGTCAACTTCAAAAAGAAACTCCAGCGCTTCTATATGCTATCTCTGCAATAGCGGCACAGCACCATCCAGAGCCGGCCATTCAGGTTTGCCGCGGTGATTGGTTTGACCAAGCCAAGTTCCTGTTTGAGCTCACGCAACGAGATAGCCTACCGGCCCTACGAATTTTGCAAGCTGGCGTTTGTATCGTACACCATGCATGGACCGTAGGCGATTACTCCACAGCATGGCACGCCCTTGGGAAAACGTGGAGACAGGCGTGCTCTTATGGGTTGAATCAACTCGACGTAGGACCGATGCAACCACCTGGACTCAGACTCGCCCCAGTTTCGAAGGATGCCCGGGAGAAAGATGAATTTCGCAGAGTCCTTTGGACGTTGCTATTTTATGATAGAGATCAATCATGGGCGACAGGCTGGCCTCAAACGATCGCTGATCGACATTACTTGGTTAATCTTCCTTCGGAGGATTCACATTTCCAATCCAAAACCATGTCGGTAAGTGTTCAAGCAATACAATATCTGGAAACGCCTATTCAAGCTCTCTGATGCTGATATCGATACAGGGCGAAGATGAATCCACACCATTCTATTGGAACTTGAACAAGCTGATAAATTCACCATCCAATTCGATCCAGCATACCAACACCTTCCATTGCGTAATTAAAGCGTATGTCATTCTTGGACGAGCAACTGATCAAATTAATGCTTTGCATGACACAGAAGAGTCTGCAGAGTACGAACAAGGGCTTGACATTCTTGATTCCCACCTAGTAAGATTCCGGCTAAGCCTACCACGATCTGCGACCTCCATCCACGCAACTTCTCCAGAAGATCATGCAAACGTCATCTGGCTTATGAGCATTCTCAGTACCATCACTATTTTGCTCCACTATCGAGCTTCTTCCAAAGAATCGCCTCTGGACGAAACCCGTTTCCTCCGTTGCGTCTCCGTGGCCCGCAACACGGTACACATGGTCACCGATGTGTCCCGAATATCTCCAGAACCTCTACTGAATCCTCACATACCTGCTATGCTGTATCTAGCCGCCGCTGTTCTCCTTGTGCACTGGAGGGAAAGCAAAGTCGATAAACTCAAAGACGAGATCGATATCCTGAGCCTCGTTTTCGATCGCTTCCACGACGTTTTTCCAGCCCTTGGAAAGAAGTTCAAACAGGGGATTGAGTATGATCTTAACATGAATGAGGATGGCATACGAAAAGCGAAACAGGCAGGCGCGAAAGGATTGCTGGGGGATTGTGCGAGGTGGCAGATGCCAACTCGTTAGATTTTGGCAAGTACGTGTCTCTCAGAACCCGTACACCTTCCTTGTTAGCCCTCAGGCATCTTAAAGCCCTACACATTTCTTCAGACTTCAGATGCTTTCATGTTCACCGTTTTGATTAATGATGTCACCCGATCCCAAATTCACCTCCGAGATAGACGTAAACAAATATGCAGAGCTCACCCTCCTGGGGAGCATCTCGCGATCGCACTCGACGCACCGACACGAGCGCTTATCCGCATACTTGGACTTTCAAACGCTGATTGAGTCCATTCCTTTCGCGCTAGCCCCAAGGATGTTTTCAGCGTCGTCAACCTCGCCTATCAAGCGTGGACGAGGCCGACCTCGAAAACATCCCCTACCATTGACAAGTATACCTGCCAAGTATGAGGTAGTCCCGCCACGAGGGGTGCCTCGACTAGCCTCATATAGAGCCAGAGAGTCGCCGGGACGAGTTACACCTCACTCCCAGAACCCAACCTTCACTCCACCCGTGACGAAGCGAGGGCCAGGCCGACCTCCTCAAGCAGCCCAGCCAGCTACAGATGACGCCAACGAGCTACGAGGCACCATGCAGTACACGCACCTCAAAGGCCCACAGCTGCGAGCGGAGCTGAAGCGACGCAACCTCGCTACCACCGGTGGCTACGACGCCATGATCGAACGACTACTAGAAGACAACGCGGAACGCGGCAGTGAGGCTACGACGCTCAGCACCACGCTGGTCAAATATGTACCCAGGCCCTTGAATCTCGTCACGGCTGGGTACGGACTCCCCGAGGACCCGGCTGTGCTCGTCGGAAGCGGTACGTCAACTATCGCTGCGATCATCAACCGCAAAGAAGACTAACAGCATTCGATATACAGATATCATCCACTACGCCCTAAACCCCTTCGGTCTCCCAACCCTAACCCTCTACCTCACCTCCGGCCACTCCGCCACCATCTCCGGCGCCGCCCTCCGCAACGCCCTCATCGGCATCGACCCCCAGCTCCTCAGCACCCTCCGCCGACTCACAGGCTCCGATGGCCCGGACAACGAGATCTTCCCCGGCTCGCACCCGCACCACCCCCTCCGCATCCTGGGCGCCTCCTACGCCGAGCGCATCAGCACCGCCGCGAAAGAGCTCGTCCACGGCGAGACGGAGCAGTGGCAGACGCAGCGGAAGGCGTCGCTGCGAGGACTAGGCCTCGCGCCGAAAGAGGTAGGGACGGAGAAGAAGCCGGTTTGGGAGGAGAGGCATGTGGTGCTGGGCCTGCGGCTGCGGGGAATGCTGGGCTACGGCTACGTGTTCGCGTACGACGCGAGCGGCGAGGATGAAGCGGGCGAAGAGGGGGCGGTGGATCAAGAAGGCGGCTGTTGGGGCGATGTGGAACTCCATGCTGCGAAGAAGGAGGTGTGGGAGCCTCTTCGCGTTGTTGAAGGCGCGGTGGTCAGGGGCGTGGCGCACGACGTCTCTTACGTCGAGGAGGAGATGGACACGGAGATGGCGGATCTGCAGTGGCATGGCGCGGATACGGAGCTCAGCGAGCTCAGCGATGTCGACGAGGAGGTGCTGAGGGGCGGTACTGTGGATGTGGAGGCCGGGGTTGTGGAGAGCGTAAGGAAGCGCGCCCGGTATGACTCTGGGGTTGAGGCGTTGCCTGACGCTGAGGAAGACAGTCCGTGCCCGAGGAACGGGATTCGGCTTGATGCTGCAGACCGCATAGATGATGCCGTGCGTCCGTGGGAGAAGCTTGATGCTGCGCCGCCGGCCAAGCGGAGGCTGAGAGGGTGAGTTCAGGGTCAGTGGCGTTGGAGGAAGCCTTGCTGATTGGTGGTTAGGTTCGGGTTTCGGAAGACGTGGATGGGCGGGTTGTGAGGTCTTGCGTCTTAGGTGGGGGTTTGGGATGGGAGCCTGGACGAGGTTTGAAGAGAAGCTGGATGGTGGTGGGTCAGGGTAGCTTTAAGTAGCTATAACAAGCTGGTCTCGTGATGCAGCTATCAAAACCAGCATCGCTCATACGAATACACGCTGAATCACGGATTTGATGGATATCAGTATAGTGTGTTCAGGAGAGGGGTATACTTTTGCTTCCTATCCACAACGCCGTCGCTGAGATCCTGGTTTTGCCCGTACAGAATCCTAACTTTTCTCTAGTCCTTATGTAAGCCACGCAAATGCTCACCCCTTAAGATCTCCAACCTAAATTCAAACCTCTCGAAACGCTACCTCCCTCGGTAGCCTAAAGCTGGCACAGAACATCCGCTTCTTCGGCGCTACATCGCGCACATCCCATACCCTTGTCTCAGGCGTACCTGGCTTGATATCCGTCGCTAGTAACTTCGAGATCTCCTCACAGATCTCCGCCGTCTGCGCCACGTTATCGTCGCTCTTGTAGCTGAAGCAGTAGACGTGCACCATCGGCATCGAAATCTTCTCGCGTTCTTCGGATGGGAGTGCTTTGAAAGCTGGTTGGGCGTATATCCCGATGAATGCCGGGAGGAAGCTCAGGGCAGAGGCGGGGAGGTTCATGACGAAGTGGTTGAAGAAGCGGGGCTGCGTGAGGGTCTGGCTAGGAGGAGCTTCGAGGGGTGCGCAGGCTTTGGGGGAGGCGGGCTTCGTGCGAGCAGAGCGCGCTGCTTTGACGTCCTTTCGCGTTTTGACCGTGACGCTGTGTTGTGTTTTGAGTAACTCCGCCGCCGCTGTCTTTATGAATTTCGCCCCGTCCTCGTTGAACGGTCTGACGAAGTCCCCCGTTTTGTTCCCCTTGATTGTATCTTTGAGCGCCTCATAACTTTCTGGATTCAGATCGTTCGCCCACACGAAGATTTTCTTCTTCCCCGCTGGTACGGCGAACGGGCCTATCCCCGCCATTACATCTGCGACCGCCTCGCCTTCTTTGAATATGCCAACAAGCCGCTCATGCTCGGTGTGCAGCCTACTATTCCAATACACTTTCGCAAAATCGAATTTGAATACACAGCCTTGTTCGTGGACCTCGACGACCATTTCGTCCGGCCCGTGGAGGACTTCATATTGGAACGTGCGGTAGGGGTTTGCTTCGCCGACGCGGTCGATTTTGTTGATAACGGTGCGCACGGTGGGGTTCTTGTCGGCGAGAACGTTGGCGATGAGGTGTTTCCAGGGGAGGTAGTGGTCGCGGAGGTTGAGGTGGGCTGGTGGGCGCAAATGTCAGATGTTGTCCTACTTAGGAGGGAGAGCGGTACTCACCAACGTGCCCGACTAGAGTGAAGCCGGTAGGAGGGTCGTGGTTGCCATCTTCTTCGGGGAGGATGGCGTCCATTATTTCGGCTGGATTGTCTCAGTTTTGAGGAGTATGGGGGCAAGAGACTACGCACAGTATGACCAGAAATCGTAGTTGAGATGGAGATCGTAGGGTATTACCCCCACGGTCCCACTCTGCTGGAAGTCTCGTAGTTTAGGGCTCCATGTTTGCGAGTCTGCCTGCTTTGGTCAGCTAGATGTCTAGATTGTGACTCTTGAGAGAACTACTACCATCGTGTCGAACCTCCGGCTTTAAGAGTATGCATTTCCCTCCAGCTTTTGCGGTCTCTTCCACGGGATCGTTCACTATAGTAAGGAATCGTGGCAGTAACAGGGCATCCTTTGCGCTTTCCAGCTCTTTCTTGCACGTGCTGATATCCTTCTGCTTGAAGATGCGGGCGGCGGAGGTGGGGACAGTCTTCTTGAAAAAGGCGCGGTCGAGGATTTTCATAGCCCGGTTGATGGGAGGGCGAAACATGGTGTCGTCTGGCATCGGAGCAGAGTCCGAGTCTCTCCTTTCGCTATAATGCGCACACTCGTTGCAGTCGTGGTCAAAATTAAGGAGTTTGGATAGAATGGCGGATAACCGTTCTCTGTCTGAGATGCACGGATCTCCCGCGCGCAGGGACACCTGCAGCACAATTTCGAGGCCAACAAAACACCACCCAGCGCGCCCGGGCGTACAATACACGCGACGAGACCGTCAACACTCCTATCCGAATCACGACACCCCCGAGCGATGCGGCCGCCCGACGAGACTGCCTGAGGAACCTGAACACGCCCGAAACCTCGCGATCACCACGTATCATCGAGCTCCGCCGCGAGGCCGGTAGCCGCAGCCATGGCGTCGGGGGGAGGCAACATCAAGGTCGTGGTGCGCGTGAGGCCGTTCAATGGAAGAGGTGCGTTCCCGAGAGCTGGGGAGGGCAGTGGGAGGATACTAATGTTTCGTAGAGATCGCCCGCAATGCAAAATGCATTGTCCAGATGAACAAGGACCAGACTATCCTTACACCCCCTTCACACATCGAGGGAAAGCTCTCCAAAGCCGCTAAAGCTGCCCTCGATGGGTCTAAGACATTCGCTTTCGACAAGAGCTACTGGTCGTTCAACCGTAGCGACCCTCATTTCGCCAACCAGGAGGATCTGTTTACAGATCTGGGGAAGCCCCTGCTGGATAATGCATTTCTGGGCTTCAACAACTGTATCTTTGCGTATGGGCAGACGGGTTCGGGGAAGTCATACTCGATGATGGGGTATGGGGAGGAGGCTGGTGTCATACCGAAGATTTGCAGGAACATGTTTGAGCGTATTGAGGAGATGCAGAAAGACAAGAATCTGACTTGCACCGTCGAAGTGTCCTACCTGGAAATCTACAACGAGCGCGTCCGCGATTTGCTGAATCCGTCTACCAAGGGAAACCTCAAGGTCCGCGAACATCCTTCCACCGGACCCTATGTCGAGGATTTGGCGAAGCTACTGGTGCGGTCGTTTCCGGAGATTGAGAACTTGATGGATGAGGGGAATAAAGCTAGGACGGTCGCCGCGACGAACATGAACGAGACCTCTAGTCGATCGCACGCGGTGTTCACTCTCATTCTGACGCAGAAGAGGCATGATGTGGAGACGAGGATGGATACCGAGAAAGTGGCAAAAATCAGTCTGGTGGATTTGGCAGGTTCGGAGAGAGCTACGTCTACTGGTGCGACTGGTGCAAGATTGAAAGAGGGTGCGGAAATTAACAGATCGCTGTCTACACTCGGTCGTGTCATTGCGGCGCTCGCGGACCTTTCCTCGGGCAAGGGCCCTGGCAAGAAGAAGAACCAATCTATGGTGCCATATCGAGATTCCATCTTGACGTGGTTACTCAAAGACTCGCTGGGAGGCAACAGTTTGACGGCTATGATAGCTGCAATTTCGCCTGCTGATATCAATTTCGACGAGACGCTTTCCACGCTTCGATATGCCGACTCTGCCAAGCGAATTAAAAATCACGCCGTTGTCAACGAGGATCCAAACGCCCGCATGATCAGAGAATTGAAAGAGGAACTCGCTCAACTTCGATCGAAACTTAGCGGGGGAGCTTCTGGTGGTATTGTTGAAGAACAATACGCGCCTGATACCCCACTGGAAAAGCAGATTGTCTCAATTACCCAGCCAGACGGTACCATAAAGAAAGTTTCAAAGGCCGAGATTGTTGAGCAATTGAATCAATCAGAAAAGCTATACACTGATCTCAACCAGACTTGGGAAGAAAAGTTACAGAAGACAGAGGAAATTCACAAGGAGCGAGAAGCTGCGCTAGAAGAGCTTGGTATCAGCATCGAGAAGGGGTTTGTTGGATTATCAACGCCCAAGAAGATGCCTCATCTTGTAAACCTGAGCGACGATCCTCTACTCGCCGAATGTCTGGTATACAATCTGAAGCCCGGAACTACGACCGTTGGGAATGTGGAGTCGGCGACTACAGCGGAGATTCGATTGAATGGTTCACAAATTCTGCACGACCACTGCGTGTTCGAGAACGTCGATGGTGCTGTCACCGTAGTGCCTCGAGACAATGCCGGCGTCATGGTCAATGGGCAGCGAATAGAGAAACCAAAAAGGTTACGCAGCGGCTATCGAATCATCTTAGGCGACTTTCACATTTTCCGTTTCAACAATCCCCAAGAAGCACGAGCTGAGCGAGCTGAGCAGGGGAGCCTTCTTCGTCATTCCGTTACAGTGAGCCAGCTAGGATCTCCATCTCCTAGACCTGGTCACGACAGATCTTGGAGTACTGTCAGTAGGCCTGAATCAGAGTTTGACTCTGAAAGCCCAGGAGCCGCTTCACCAAACCCATTTCAGCAACGGAACGGGCGCGACTCTGATTGGTCGTATGCTCGGCGAGAGGCTGTCACTGCAGTGCTAGGGACTGATCAGAAAATCAATAGCTTAACTGACGAGGAGCTTGACGCCGTTTTCGACGATCTACAAAGGATACGGGCTGTCCGGAAAGGTCGACCAGAGAGCAGGATGTTCGAGCAAGAAGATGATCTGGATTCTGTTTCAACGTACCCGGTTCGAGAAAAATACGCTTCCACCGGAACCATCGACAACTTCTCTTTGGACACTATGCTGACCATGCCCTCCACTCCTCAACCAGGTGAGGAGGATGAACGTCTCCGATTAGTCAGGGAAGATATGCAGGATCAAATTGACAAGCAGAAGGAAGAATATCAAGCAAAGCTAAAATCTGCAGAAGAAGCCAATGTCGAGATTGAAGAGATCAAGGCGGAAAAAGTCAAGATGGAGGAGAGTCTTCGTACTGCTAAAGAAGGAATGCAGAAGCAGCTACAAGAACAGAAAGAGGAATTCCAAAGGCAGCTACAGGAACTCCAAGGGCCGCTATCACCCCAATCAAATGGACCCGTAGGACCACCGGAGCCGACCGAGAGGCAAATGGAACTCGCAAAGGACGCATTCCAACAATGGCGGCAGCGGAAGTACGTGGCCATGGCGGAGACGATTCTCCAAAATGCCGCAACATTGAAAGAGGCTCAAGTGATGAGCCAGCAGATGGACAAGCATGTTGTTTTCCAGTTCTGCATCGTCGATGTTGGACACTCCTTTGCATCGTCATATGACTTAGTTCTCAATGGGATACCTGGAGAAGATGATGAAGACCTCGACATTACCCCCAAGCCATGCGTTGGCATACGAGTTATAGACTTTAAGAATCAGGTCGTACACCTCTGGTCGTTACAGAAGCTTCGCATCCGGGTGCGGCTTATGCATCAGATGCACCAGTATCTCAATCGGCCGGAGTATTTGCAACATTTCAGCTTGGAGAATCCGTTCCTAGAGCCTTGCATGCCGGAGTTCTCGCGGATTGGGGATGTCGATGTCCCTCTGGCTGCCGTCTTCGAGTCTCGTGTCCAGGACTTCAGCCTCGATGTTATCTCTTCGTATACCGCAAATGTCGTTGGGATAGTAAGACTATCTCTCGAGCCTTCATCAGCCCAAGCGCCTTCTACCACCCTAAAATTCAATGTAGTCATGCATGACATGGTAGGATTTCCAGAACGAGAGGGAACAGATGTTCACGCCCAACTCTTTGTTCCAGGCGTCTCTGATGAAGGCGGAGCAACGACAACGCAAATGATCAAGGACTTCGACGAGGGCGCAATTCGCTTTGAAAGTGTTCACAGCATGAGCGTTCCGTTCGCCAGTCCTCGTACCTCATTCCTTCGAGCTTCGATATTTGCCAAAGTAACTACTATGCATCTAGATAAGCTACTTAGCTGGGATGACATGCGAGATTCGGCGGTCAAGCCTAAGAAGAAGCGCCTTGCTTCTCGCCTACCAGAGTCCGAGTTCTTTACCGAAGAGGTCCATGATATCTTCTCCCGTATCCAGATCCACGAAATCTCCGAAGACGGATCTTATCAACCTGTCGAAGTCATTCAAAACAGTGTTGCGGATGAAGGCGCCTACCAACTCCATCAAGGGCTACAACGACGGATAGTAGTCAACCTCACCCACACCTCGGGCGAGACTCTACAATGGCACGACATTGCCGGTCTCCGCGCGGGTCGCGTTCGCCTTGTTGATTCCTCCGGTACGGCTCCAGCCCTCGATTCCCCTGTCCACGAAGTTCCCCTTGCACTCGTGCACCCGCCCACAGTAAAGTCCAACGCAGACGGTACTACAAATGTGACCTTCATCGGGCAATGGGACTCAAGTGCACATGGCTCCCTTCTTCTCGACCGCGCTACACCTGACAAATACCGCGTGCAAGTGTCCCTTCTCTGGAACGTCTCCAGCACCCGCCTCGCCTCCCCCATGGTCTTCTCTCTTGATCTAGATATGCAGATTCGAGCGCGGAGTTTCTTGCGTCAGACGAGTCTCTTTGGCTTTGCCAACCTTTGGAACACTACAAGAGTGATCCATTCTACAACTGCTATATTCTCAGTCGCTATCCGTCCTACCTCAGTCAAGCGTGCGACCGACCTATGGCGCATGAACACCCGTGACGACTTTGTGAAAGGCGAGGAAATGCTAGCTGGATGGACACCTCGAGGTGTCAGCCTTGTCAAAGACTTCATCGCCACCCAAAAACGTCGCCGACGAGTCGCGGAAATCGAAACAGCACGCAGCGTCCTAAGCAGCCGTGCCTTGACCCTCCCCACCACAAATGGCACAACCAACGGCACCGGCGCCTCGACCTCGGAGCTCGACGACCGCCAGAAATCCCTTCTAACCCGCGTCCTCACCCTATGGCAAACGAAGAAAGAGCCCGCGGAGATAATCCTCAACACCACGAACCTCGAACCGCCGTCTTCTGGCGCCGCCTTCGCTGCACGCCCGCTCCATCCTTCGGCCCAAAGTTCTTCAAATAACGTCAATCTGCCTGCGTCAACTGGCCTCTCCTCCGCCCCTGCTTCTCCCTCACCTAATCCGACGCTTGTCGCAACAGTCCGCCACATTCCCAAAAACCCAGCGCTCATGAAAGGCGGGTACCTTCTCATGCCAGACCCTTCGTCCTCACGATGGGTGCGGCGATACGTCGAATTACGGAAACCGTATCTGCATATTTACTCCGTGCCCGAGGGGGACGAAATCAATGCTGTTAGTTTGAGGAATAGTCGTGTAGATCATCAGCCGCAGATTGCGAGGCTATTGGGGGGTAGGGCTAGGAGCGAGAGGGATGGGACAGAAAGAGGAGGCGAGAGTGTCTGGGCGGTGTTTGCGCGCGGGAATAGCTATTTGTTCCGGGCGAGGGGGGAGCGAGAGAAGATTGAGTGGATACTCAGGATTGACGAGAGTTATTTCTCCAGTGGGAGTGGCAGTGGGGAGGAGTGAGACTCCGGAGGGTCAGTTGGGCTCTATCTTTTGGCTATCGTCGTAGTGTGCAACATGGGACTCGTGGCGTCTGAAAATACTTGGATCTGCCGCGCTGGGCGTTCGGGAGTATGGTAGGCTTTGATGCCGCTATGGAAGCATTTATATCTCTCGTTCATCAATCACTCTCATTTTTTCAAGTCATATTTCTTTTGTTCAGGGACTCGGTCTACGCTTTGGATACCCAGGGTGTTGGAGTAATTCCTATAGTTGCGAGTAGACCTGATCAAGCCGCTGAGACCGGGTGGTATAGATAGAATAGGGCGGGAAGGGGGCAGTAGAGAGTAATTTATCGTTCAACTGTAGCCCCCGGTTTTGTTTTGATGGTGACGTCCATCTTCACAATGTATGATAATGTGGGGCCTTTCTGGTAAGTGGAACCTGCTTCGCGTTGGTGTCGAGATGAATGCTAGATACTGTTCACAGCTCACAACTCGCAATTCATTAGTGAAGTATCAAAAAAAGAAAACAAATTCATATCAGACTATGCGGTACTATGCTAATGTCTATCTACACGTCCCACCCCAACTCCTCCGGCAATCATATATACTCCATGTCCTTTCCCTCTTGATTACCATACCGCAATCCTCAACCGCAGAAACGTCGGTACACTGCAAATACTAGTCTAGGCTAGAAGGCAAGAGTTTTTCCTCTGCTTCCATAACCAGCCAATCATCCAGAGGATTTTGAATTACAAATCCTAAGCCTTGGACACGCTTCCACATTGAGAATACTGCGACTGCGCCGTCATTCGTAAATGGCAATTATTCAAGTGCTTAAACCTGAGCCTAGTTTCCGCTGTCGAGAGATTGACATCCTGTTTCGACTTTCGCAAACGTGTCGACGGGCTTCATGCAGTGCTAAGCCATCGTACGCAGTCCAGTTTCACGACACGGTAAATCCCGCTATATCGGATTTTGTTCCTTTGTCCTATGCCTCTAGACCGGCATAGGTTAGAAACCATTGCCATTTCAATCGAAAAGGCGGTTTCTCCTGCTTCTGGTCATCGTGGTCCTCATAGAGGTCTCTCGGAATACCTCCCCCAGCACACAACCTATAATGGGATGCTGCCCACGTTTTGACTCACGCAAAGTAGTCACACCGGTTACATCTCGTCAATGTGAAGGTGCAGAAGGGATGGGATGCTCCATACTTCCCAATACCCTGCTATTTGATGCCTCTTTAAACTATTTTCTTTGTCTGCTCTAGCCATAGAGCAGATTCTTGGCAGGTTCTTCGACCATCTCAAACGTCAACTTCCGGATTCGTACAGAAACTCCGCATATGAACAGGTAGTTTGGCTGTTAGAGTCGCGCAAACAAGTCATAGGCGTCCTATCCCCTCTTTCTTGAAAGCTACGGGGCACACACGGCTTCACGAAAGCCCTTCGCACACTGCCATTGCTGTTCTGGATCGATCGTTGGTTTTCTCTGCTTCCAGCCATCAAAACTTCACCGTTACGAATTTTTATCAACGGCTCCGAGGTCTCACACAAGTTTCACATGAGGTACCTCGGTACTATGTGTTCGAGAGTTGGCTCGCACAGACAAGTCATCAGCAGCCACTGGTCTCCATTCGAAGCGACAAGAACGCGTAGGTCTTGAAGGTATGTCATGATGAAATCTCGTTGAAGTACTTCACGAGCGATGACCTGATCGGCACCCAGGAGCACGAACGGCCATCATTTGCTGCCCTTGAATATTTTGAACCAGCGGCATAAGACTTCTCAGTGCAATCTTTGTAGAAGAGTAGCTGGAGGATCCGCACAGAGCCGCAAAAGAACATAGACAGATGTCTTCACGCAGTTTGGCACGTCCGTAACGGCGTAAAGGCTAGCGAGGATAGCGGTTGAAGGAGGCAGATCGCGGACGGGCTACCCATAACGCGATATCTAGCAGTTTTTACTAGGACTCTCGTGATCGGTAAAGCGGAACACGAGCATCAAAGAGTTACCCGGCCAGTTTCGAGCCAGTACCATGGTTTGAGTCTAACCACTGTGGGTATGGACGGACGGGGCCGCAACCGACCATAGACAGAAATGGGTCGCGATTTGGCGGGCCGAAGAAGTCATTCCTCGTGTCATGGCGAGATTTTGTTGAAGCTGGGGGTGCCCGCGGGCTCTACGTAACAGCAATAGTATACCTGAGTTTACTCAAATATCCGGAGAACCCACTGAAGAATGGAACGATCATTCAAGGTTTCAGCGAAAGGTTTCAGCACGCCGAAGAGTCCATAGCATAACATAGAGCGTGGTTTAAAAGAGCGAGAGTTCGCGCGGCTTTCCCATCAGATACTCCTAGTTTTCCTTCAGTAGATACTTCAAAAGAATCGGCCGCCAGACCCGCGAAGGAGCACCAACACGTGGCCTCGATCGGACGCAAACGCCGAAAGAGCCCATGAGAAGTGAGGAACGATAGACATGAAGGAGCGAGAGCGCTCGCGACCTCCACATATTTTCTAGTTGTGGGTTAGTTGTAAGGGATTTTCAAGGAACCCGCCACCGGATCCGCGAAGAATCATGAAATGATGGCGTAGTATTTCGATATTCTCAAGAAACCCATCCACGAAGGCAATGCATCCTTTCAAGCAGCGAGAACGGTTGCTGCTTCTCCATTGCCCCTTTCGTCAACGACGTTTACAGATTCCCGCGAAGGGAGCTGCAAAGCGACATCATCTTCTGCGACAATTGGTTTGGTGCGCCCAAAAAATCTTGCTGGGCAATTTTGTTGTCATTTGGTGCGGCGAGAGGAGTCTAACATCGTCTAAAGTGGCCCAGAACGCCCCTTTGTATCAACCTTGCCAAAACTTCCGCTTTGGAAATTTTGACGATGCACCAAAGGACCTCAGCAGTGCTAGGCAAGTGTTCACAGGCCCTGAGAGAGCGGCTGGTCCCACACAAGCAGGCCCGCCATGCTCCTACTCCTGCTCCTCTGTTTGGCAGGCTGCTCGGAGATGCCATCAACTTGTCGAAAGAATTTAGTTACTCAAGGAGATTATTTCTAGACAGCTACGTCATATCCTCCTCATCAGTTTTTGGAATGCGATGTCAGGATTCCCGATGAAAGAAGCAAAAGCGACCATAAGACACCAGGCATGTGGTCTGGGGCTCTCCGAGGAGCCATGCCAGCTCCAAGATGGGCTTTTGGTGCGGCGAGAGCGTACCTGGTCAACTTCTTTGTCAAACGTTCATCAAGGTCGGATGTAGCGGGAACACAGCCCTATAGCGAATCCGGCTGGCAGTTGCACAGCCATGCCCCTATGATCCTCGAGGTTCTCGGATCCCGAAGGCAAATACCCATATTTTACATGATGGGCGACTTCTTGATTCCAATGCACAGAGCCATAGCTAGAATCCAGTAGAATCTTGATCCAGAAGGAAGGGAGCCGTACAGGTCGGCCGCGAGATCTTTATAAACTAGCTGAAAGCAAGGTATACAGCTGGTTTTCTTAGGACCCTTTTTTCTGTTCACACCACGAACCACCATAGTGCACAAGTGCGCAATGTTTCCGATACCAAAGCACATAGCCATCTTTAGTAGCTCGCGTAGATTTGATCAAGGAAAGCAAAGCCGTGCAACGTATGCGACACTCCGTTGCTACGCCATGTACTCCCCTTGAATCTTGCTTTGTTACGGGAAGCAAACAGCTATTGCTGGCCCACTGATAGGTGGACGGCTCAATCCTGAAACATAGCGAGCAATTAGGTGTAAGATTAGTGTTTTGAAAAACACGTAACTCGTTACACGTCCTTGAAAGCCACCGTCTCATCGGAAACCCCCGTCTATTTCTAAGTCAACCTCTGGAGTAGCTTTGCATAGTCTGGAGTGCAATTAAGTCATCAAACACAGTGGTAATGCCGTACCGAATAGCTGCTTTTGAGTATCGTCGGCCGGTTCCTCGTGAAGCGTGAACCATGCTCACGAATATGTCTCATGCGTCGCGGACCCTCTCAGGTTTTGATCCAGAAGGCACACGGCCATTAGTTCTGGCCATCTTGAATTTATAAAGCCATGTTCCGCCGCGTTGATTACTTCAAGTCTGGAAAGCAAACGGTCATTATGTGCTTTGCAAGACCATTTTGATCTATATCTCCACAGACCATGGCCAGGGAAGCCCCGAGATTTGAATCCCAACACAGGCAGCCATCGGTTGTCTTTGTGAGTAGTTTCGACCTCAAGGCACACAGCCATTCAAGCCTCTGAAATGAAAGTTTTTAATCCACAAAGCAGCCTGTTATCCAGCCCATTTTCGGTGTTTTCAATGCAGAGCACACGACCATGTTGGAGTTGAGGCTGAACTTTTAAATCCACACTGTAAATACCCATTGCGAGTCCTTCTTTGAAAGTTTGATCCCAAGGCACAGTGCCATTGGTCTCGATGCTCGTTTATTTGTTCGAATGGCAAAGCAATCAACGATTGCTCGCCTTTTCGAGGGGTTCCGCAAACAGCCCTCATACTCTCTCTCTCTCTTATCATATTTGATCCCAAGGCACGAATCCAGGGTTGGAAAAGGCGATCAATTTAGTGTGAAAGTACCCAGCCATAACATGTCCGCCGTAGGAAATCTTTCGGACGTAGTGGAGATTAGACTACCTATTGACGAAGCGAAAACCTGCTATCCAAGGCACTCTTTACAGTGGTGTCGATCGAGCAAGAGTGGGGTCGGGATAGTGATATATTCGCGTTTCCGAACTTATAGCCTGATACTGTATACATATCCAGCTTCAAAGCCATCGTGTGAGAGGTGTAGAGGCTTAGATCTAGCTAACACTCATCACAGTTTGCTGATCCAGCTTCTGAAGCTCCACAGGACGCAATGCCATGCGGGTCAAAATATTAGCATGCTTTGAATGCGCACGACGAGTCGGTAAAGCTTCTTGCCGCCGAACGTGTGGTCACTGTTCAATCCAAAAGATGCTGCCATATCGGTATTTCAGACCTGCCCTTCGATCCAGAAGACACATATAGCTTTTGTAATCGGGTTGTAAAGGGGGTAGATGATGGGGTTCAGAAAACATCCACAGCCTATTTCGCAGGAATTTTATTCCAATCTTCACGACACATGGGCCAACCGTGTGCAATCTTTTGAACTAGAGCACATAGCTATGAGAGCTCGGCCTCGACAAGCTTTCTTTGCGAATCAACCCCACACACATCAAAAATTGTTCTCCAGCCCAATAACAAGTGTAAAGGCTTCGATTAAGAGGCATACTCATGGCTTCCTTCTCTCTTTTTTTCTTTTTTGTTCAAGTGCTCGTAGCGCACGGCCCATCGCCAACTCCTAGACTATCTTATAACGGGGTGCGAGCTAGAAGGTGCAGCAATGCATAAAATGTGCACCTCTTGTTTCGATGCTGGGCAGCTGCTTATTGACGGTTTCCAACGCTCCGATTCAGAGTATACAGAGATCTGTCCTAGGTTTTGTTG